AAATTAGCCTAATGTTTGCTAATAATCGATTGATTATTTGATTGTTTTTTTTTCATTAATTGATTAATGGGTGCTGGGGGTGGCATTTTAAAAAAAAAAACATTTTTAATTTTGACCTCTTTATTCCAAAGTAGAACATTTGGACTGATGTAGCAAATCGCACCAAAAACAGCTTGTTGTTTGAGCATTCTGTTTCTATAATGTTAAGTTGTAATGAATAAATAAGAAAATATTTGTCAAATTGCTTCAGTAAAAAATGAATGTACAGAAAAATATACACAAATGTGTGCTGTGTCCTTGAAGGTCTCTTCATATTTTCTCTTCATGAGCTTTGTAAAATGTGTCCTTGAAAGAAGAGTGTAACTTGAAATAAGTGTGAAGTCTTCATCTGTGACGAAAAATACTTTCAGTCAAGACAGCTGCTTATTACAATAATTCAATAAATGCCTTGTTTTATTTGCAGTATTAGGTTAAGGCAAGTGTCTTCACTCAGACATTGTCAGCAAATTAAAACTTAAAGTCGAATCATTAAAGTAATACCATCAGAAATCACCTGACACAACAAATCAAGAATGAAATTTGTTGCTAACACATCAAATAATTGATTTTTATTGATTTTATCTATTGCAGCCCTAGCAGACAGTTATAAAGCTTTTAAAGCGAAGTAAACGTATTTATCATTCATGCAAATATGAAGGTTAAGCAAAATAGTTTCCATGTAAATGTTTGATTGTCTTGTATTGTGATAAACATTCAAATATTGAATGGAAATGTATTGTGTGTATCTTGTTGTGGAACTAATGGAAAGACCTTGTATTCAAACTACTTACTACTACTACTACTACTACTACTACTACTACTACTACTACTACTACTACTACTACTACTAAACATAACTCCAGTTAAACCTATGGTCAAAATGCAGCAGTAGGGTTATACTGAGGGGAAAAAATGATTTAAAAATTAGAAAACAAAAGAATTATAGCTACATCAGAGAAAAATCAAACAGGTTTTTGATAATTAAGGTTGAAATATAATTTCTTGTCACATATATTTAATACAACTAATTATGCATTCAGTAGCTTATTAGTAAGTCAACATATAAACATTAAGTATTTTGAGCTCTGTGTAATTCATCCATCTCATTTAAAAATGTTCACATTAAATTGTTGAATATGCTTTTACAAAGATTTTAGGTTAAAATCTAGAAAATCAAAGGTAATAATGAGGATAGGTTCAACTCTTAAGACTCACTTAATCAAGTTTATATTTATATTTTCAGGACAACCAGCAGAGGAGATTTTGTTTTTTGTGCGGACCGACTGGTAAGATCATACCTATACTGCTGAATAATGAAACTCAGTGTTTAGGATTATAAAACACACTTTGTTTTCTGTTTATGTTCCATAACAGATCAGACTTGTAGTGGAGGAGGGCTTGAACCAGCTCCCCTTCTCAGAATGCACTGTGACCACTCCAACAGGTGAGAATCTCTCCTTCATAATAAAGTGAAGTTTGATAATAAAGGTTAAAAAAAGGCTGCACTCTAAAAGTGAAGCGATTCACACGTGGGAATAAATGTGCCCCCTTTTTCCTTGAGTCTTTTACCTCCAGAATTACCGGTATATATGCTTGAGTAGGCTTAATCAAAACCAATTCTTTTGTGACTGTTCTTCCTTCATTTCCCCCTCAGGGTACAAATATGAAGGTGTCAAGTTCGAAAGAGGCAACTGTGGAGTCAGCATTATGAGGAGTGGTACGTTAAAGCTGCTGCTGCACTTATAGCAAGTCTGACTTTCTTTTTAAAGCACATTTGATAAGCCTTACTTAAAGAGGTGATATACTACTTGTCTGTACAGCTACACATCTTGAAATGAAGTCTTGAGAAAAGTCTCTTATCACCCAGATATTGAGCTAAAATTTGGTGTGGTAGTAGCTAAGAGTCATCCCTAACACTCACATAAGATCACTTGGCATTAAATGTTGGAATCAACTCTTTTGTAGAAAATAACTCTTGGAACACTGAGTGGATATTGTTACAAATGCAACATAAAAATGGCTATTAGTTGATATATTTAGCACAAAAACTAAGGAAATTTGTGTTTGGTAGATTATTGTTTTGTTGTATCAATGCTTCTTAGCAATAAATTTTATGATTTGCACCAGAGTGGGAGCACCTGGGGGCTCCAGAAGCTCAAAACAAGTGTCAGTAACTACAGCAAAACATGTTATCTACCAAACACACAGTTCCTTATTTTTGTGCTAAGTATAGATATTGAGCTAAATTTAGATGTGGTAGTAGCTGAGAGTCATTTACCTCACAGTCTGATAGCAACCATGTTCCACAAGCTCTTTCAATAGCACATAAGATTACATGTTATTTGCAAGGTTTGATCAAAACTGCTATAACTCCTTTATTTCTCTACATAAGATGATCTAAGTCTAAAACTCTGGTAGGTGAAATGCATTCCTTTAAAGGGATCCCTGATTAGTTGTAACATTAAACTTTATTTAATAAACATTTATTTTAACTGTAAAATAAAGACTGTAAAAATACTGTAGGCTGTTTAGCTTTTCTAATTTTTAAACTAAAAGTTAAAAAATACATTACACGGACGGGGCCATTTTATTTACATGCAAAGCATTCTGGGTAAATGGTGACGTGGATAGGTCCTCGGTGTGAGGCTGCTAGCGAGCTATATCCACCCTGAAGGTTAATCTTGGACAATATCTGATGATCGACTCTTTTAAATGAAACCAGAGAGCGTTGACAGAGAGGAGAAGGTAGAAATGACTCAGCCTGGAACTGAAAATATAGATGGAGGACAACAGAGCTGCTTCATGGAAGAAGAACCTCAGCTTAGCCTGTTAGCTTTAGCGTTAGCCCCGATGCTATCACCATATATATGTATTAGCTCAGCGCTACACATTCTCCTCTCGTCACTGAGGTCCTCCATCCACATGACAGAGAGGGGAACACAAAAATGACTCAGTCTGCAACTGAAAATATGGATGGAGGACCTCAATTTAGCTTGTTTGTCGCGTTAGCACAGAGATAATACATATAAGGCAATATAGCTTCGGCGCTAAAGCTAACAGGCTAAGCTGTGTTTCTTCTTCCATGAAGCAGCTCTGTTGTCCTCCATCCATATTTTCAGTTACAGGCTGAGTCATTTCTACCTTCTCCTCTCTGTCAACGCTCTCTGGTTTCATTTAAAAGAGTCGATCATCAGATATTGTCCAAGATTAGCCTTCAGGGTGGATATAGCTCACTCACACTGAGGACCTATCCACGTCTTCATTTACCCAGAAAGCTTTGTGTGTAAATAAAATGGCCCCGTCCTTGTTAAAATATATTTTTAAAAATTTATAAAACTAAACAGKCTACAGTATTTTTACAGTCTTTATTTTACAGTTAAAATATGTTTTTCAAATAAAGTCTAATGTTACAACTAATTGTAGGTCCCTTTAAGAAATACTCTGTCATTAATCAAACCAGCACTGATTGAAAAACACAACAACCAATCTTTGCATCTCTCAGGTGAGGCCATGGAGCAGGGTCTTCGCGACTGCTGCCGCTCCATCCGCATCGGAAAGATCCTCATCCAGAGTGACGAGGAGACCCAGAAGGCGAAGGTCTACTACGCAAAGTTTCCCCCAGATGTGTACCGAAGAAAAGTGCTGCTCATGTACCCCATTCTCAGTAAGTGAGGGCAGGCTTGTGTTCCTGTTGGTTCCAGTTAACCACCTTCAGTTGCACGTAAATGTCAAGACATGTCTAATTTTGTGCAAATGCAAAAAAAAAAAAGCATTTTTATGTATTTATTCATTCTGAGAAGTCTCACTTGAGCTGACCTTCACCACCAAGTCTGCATTTCCACATCATACAGGCCCATTCACACTGCTCTGATAATTATAGCTCTCATGGGGGAAATTATACACTGCCGAAGAGTTAGCCACCAGGCTGCTGAATGGCATAATGAGGGCCAACAAAAATAGTGTCTTAATAGTCCCGGTTTCCTGATGTGATAAAGCTGCATGTTTCTGTTCTCGCTTAAAAAAAAAAGGAAAGATGATGGTGAAAGTGCTCYACTGAAAAGCACATTTTATTATGTCAGAACAGGGGAACGTAGGGTTTAATTGATGCATGCTAACAGGCTGAACAGTTAAAACAACACTCATGGGTAAAGCTCACAGCTCACAACATTTGAAAAATATCTTTAATGAAGTCTATTTTTCATGCAATCATAATTCAGCAAGTTTCAAATGAACAGAGTGATTAATTCTCGGGATGGAGTGAGATCGTAAGCAGACATCTAACCCTGCGTTGTGTGTTTGTGCAGGTACAGGGAACACTGTGATCGAGGCAGTGAGGGTGCTGATAGAACACGGAGTTCAGCCCAGACACATTATACTCCTCAGCCTCTTCTCCACGCCTCACGGTACACCAACTCAAAATCAAGTTTTCCTTGTTTTTGCTCATGCCTGTCTGTTGGGTTACTTCCTGCAATATTGCACAAAATTGCATTTATTATTCTGTTGTTCTTTACTCACCAATGCTGCTAATCTTATCAGATWGATGTTTGTTTTAGAAATGTAAAATGTCCCAGCAAAAACGTGCCGTTTAAATGGAGCTTTAGTAYCTGCTGGGTAATTTATGAAGCTGCTCAGTAGTTTCTTACCAATTTCTACTTGACCAGATAATGGTGACATTTAATGTGAGTGTTCAGTTTCCCCAAGAAAGATTTTTTTTAACTACGTGACCTTTCTTTCGATGAATCTGTCAGGTTAAAATATACACTTTTTAACATAAGATAGATTTAAATCTGAAGGGCATGTTGCCATAAACTGCACTTTATAATTCAGTGTGTTGAAAAGGATCAAGCTACTTTCATTTTTGTAAAGGTTGTTCTTCACACTTTTTGATGCCTTTATGGGAGTGAAGAGATTAGATTAGATTAGATTAGATTAGATAGGATGAGGACAGGTTGTAATGTTTAGGTTGTACAGTGTCTGCATATGTGCTCAGACACATTTCTCATTGCTTAGTCTTTTTTTAAGGAGGCCCATTTAGGTCATTTTTGTTTATTTAAAGCTCTAAGCATTTGCTATAAAGCAGATTGAATATATCCAGGATAAAATTAGATTATATGGATTAACTATGCCTAACAGTCGATCTCACTAAGCAGCACAGTAGCTCAGAAGTACTGGTTATTATATTAACGCAATTCCTGTCAAGGTTCTTTATTACTTTTCTCCTTATATTAGCAGTGTACTGTAATACCAGTGTGTTTACCTCTTTCAGGAGCCAAATCTATAATCCAGGAATTCCCAGATATCACCATCCTGACCACAGAGGTTCACCCGGTCGCTCCGACACATTTTGGACAGAGATACTTTGGCACCGACTAAAATGAGGACAACCTGAGGAACATGATCAGCAAAGTGCTTTGGTTATATTTTGGGTATACTTTGTCTTGTATCTCATGTTCTCCTTGTTGTGCCATATACTGCTACTCTTACAAAGTTTCTAAACTGAACCCAAATCAATAATCACGTTTGTATTTATTGCTTTTTTGCTGTGTGCGCTCCTTGCTGTAGAGAGAAAAACCACAGAGATTAAAATGTGGATCATTTTATTTCGCATGGTAACAACTGGTTGATCAATAAAAAGAATTTATATTTGTTTACAGACAAAACAGAAAATAAGTGTGTTGAGGTTTTTCTGGTGGGTAAGAAGGGGGGGGGAGCATCACAATCACCATACTCCAAAACAGTTTAATACCATGCTATACCATGTATTCGCTCGTCTGTCCAAATAGTTTAGTTGTTTTTTTTGTATCCTATATTTTTTTCAATAAAATTACTTCAGTTGTTTAAAGTGTTACAGGAACAAAATATACAGACTGCCTGCAGCAGGTCAAAATTACTCAGCACACAAGAAGAAAAGAAATCTGAACATTATCACAATAAATAGACAGGACAATATGAAACACTCAACACCGACAGAATTCCTATCACTTATACACACTTTAAATATATCTCAGATCAAAAATTAAATTAACAAAATAAGGACTTTAAACTTAAGCAGCGTTTGATTTGGCTTCACCATTAAAAAAAGTTGTTTTTTTAAAACTATCCCAATCAAAGAGCATCAAGAGTTGAATAAAAGCCTGGCTTTTTCACTCAGATAGTACAGAAACTGGTTAAATATGCAAAATGAATGAACAGTCTTGATAAATGATATTAAACATTTTAGCAATACGTAAACACATTTGTTTAAAATGATATACTGCAGACAATCCCTCTTCCATCCAGTGGACGAGGGATTGTTTAAATATGTACAGATTTAGAACTGGGGCCAGTTGGTACGATAGAAAACAAGATATTAATAATGAGCTAACCCCAGACTTTAAAAAACCTTTATCACTGCATTTTTTTTTTTACTTTGTAAAGAAGCCAACAGCATTAAAGTCACAACATACAGTATTTTAGGAGTACTACTTCGCTAAAATGTAAAACAAATGTTAAGTTTGCTTTCATACTGTCAGTTTTGTTAGCTCAAATGCTATGTTAGTTTTTCCAGTTACTGTCACTTGTCTGATCAGCTATGATAATGATGTTTTGACTACAACATGTTAGAATACTTTGTTAAACCAGGAATATAAGATTTCAGAAACTTAACAGTATGTCCAAAGTGTCTACACGATGCGTTCGCAGGCAGGATACATTCTCGGGAGAAATTCACCCCCAAAATAAAGGAATACTCGAGTAAGGCATTGGTCAAGTCTGATTTTCTAATATGCTTGTGTTAAAAGTAAAAACTAAAAGGTAAGTCTGTTTTTTTTGTATGGTATATATGTTAAGACTCTGGGGCTTTCAGGGCATGAGGTCAGTTTAAATACCACACTGCAGAGACAGTAAGGTGCAACACTCTAAAGTCAACTCTGAAACAAATGAACATGACATGTTTTCCACTTCCTCCATTATCACAAAAAATATATACACTTTTCGATGAAGAGGTATTTTTTCCTAATAAAATTTTAATTTTCCATCTTTTAAAGAAAAGATTAAGCCTCTGCTGGTTTTCCATCGAGTTCATTTGCTCACAATGATCTAAAACATGAGGGGAAAATTGGCAAAGGTGATCCAAATGCAGGTTGTAAGACCCCTCGCTCTGCCCCGTCCACCATCCCACGTGGAATGCGTTCAACTTCATGGTTACACAGTGTGAGATAAAAGTTTACATCCTTTATACAAGCGGTAATTAATCCTCCATCTCTATGGTAACGGACGGGTCAACGTCCTCGACTGCAGGGAGAGAAAATAAAATCTATTTCAGTGAACAAAGCAAGCATTTTTAGAGGTTTTGTATCTGGTAGTTGATGGTGCTTCATGTGACCACCAGGTGGCGGCAAAACCTCACAGCTGAACTAACCACTAAACCACATCAACGACTTAAAATTACAGCCACTAATGAAAATAGCAGTGCTATATGATGCATAACAGCATGTAGAAAGTCTCTAAAATAAAATATTACTGTTGTTTCCAAATGCACACACAAGGAATAAACAGTGATTTTTGATTCAATGTTGACTTGCTTAATTCATTTTATTGTGAACCTTTTAATTCTTAGAAAATGTCATACAATATGTTTTATTTTAAACAACCTCAAAATGCCTAAATGACATTTTATGTCTTTGTAAATATATAAAGTATTTTAAAAAGTACAAACAAAAACCAAAAGTCATAGTTCCCATTTGAACTGAATATTTTGATAAATGAATGGCTAAAATAGCACAAAGTGTACAGAAGAAGTTAGATTGGAAACAAACTGAAATAAATAATGATTGAAAAAATTAAAATTAGGAAATTCATAGTGTGAATGCTGAATTAGCACTACATTAAAGCATGTGATGACTGCATGATGTGAGTAATTAGTCACTTTATAAGGAAAAAGTAAACTAAAATTAGCCACAAAAAACATTTGAAGGAAATGTTTTGTGTTCATAGTAACCCTGCTCTTTCTGATAGTACATCACAGCTTTATGTTTTTATCAATCATGTGCTTTAAGTTGTGGCAAAACTCTGCATCTGTAATCTTTATAAAGGTTATATTTATAAGGTTCACCTAAGAAACGTGGAACCAGTTAATCAGGTTCCAGTCCTGTTGTATAAATTATTTTCTAAAGCGTTGAATAAACTGAACAAACAGGAGTTTAAAATAAAATCAGATTATAAAGTGTATATGGGCTTCAATTTCCTTTAGATTTGGTCATCATTCCCTTATACTTTAAAGGCTGCCTGCCCTGGATCGCTTCTTCTCCACCTTGGCAGCCACTACACTGCTGATTTAATCTACCAGACTATCAGTATTATTACCTCCTGTAATTTCAGGGCAGGCTGTTGTTTGCCAGATCTGTGGCACTGTCACCTAACCTTTAATGTTAAAGTGCCTGTGACATCAAATTTTTGTAATTGATATGAATGCGTTGTCAGAAAGATAACTTTCATAACATATTACAAAAAAAATGCTGAGATGAACAGTTGTTCAGATATTTGCATGTGAAGTAACAGGAAGTGATGCAAAGGGGAATGTTTGAACCTAAACAGAGCATTGCTACAATGGCTAACAACACAGTAAAGAGGAATCTGATGGTTTGTTTTAGATTATTTTGAGTCTCTATCAGAGAGAGATGAAAAAAAATTAGAGTTCAAATAATATTGTTTGAATAAACAAAGACCAGGGAGTTCCTTTTTTAAAAGATTTCCCCTTTGATGTCACTTCCTGTTTCACTTTTTGGTTGAACCAAGTTCAAAATAAATTGTGCCAGTTTGGTAAAATGGATAAAATTGTGTGTGTTATGCAAAGTTTCTTATAAAGATGTTTTCTAACTAAATGACAACCACTAAGTTCAAGGTGGAAATACAAAATGGTATTTTAAAAAAATGGAAATTAACCAACTCTTGTGTAAGCAGCTAAAAAATTATGCAAACTCACCCAAGCTTCCTTCTTCAGACCCATCATCTGACTCCTCCCACATGTCCTCATTAGCTAATAAGGAGCTATGAGATTCAGAATTCTGACTCCTCAAAGGGAAGTAGTGACCATTTCCTTGACTGGTGTTAAAATGAGCAGAAGAAAATAAGAGGGGTTAATGGATTTTAGGACTGTTACTTGTTTCCAGTTCTTCATTTAACTCGTTTTAGTGTTTAGTGTTGACCCATTTGATTAACTGTTAGCATGCATCTTCCATATTTAGATAATTATCAGTGCCGCCATAAAAGCTGACAGCCATAACGTGTTTGTCCATGTTATGTTGTGAATCACTAGATGGATTTTAATGAAACTCTAAATCAAACGTTATTTGTACATCTACAACTTGTAACTTTCTGGAGTCAACCCAATTCAATACAGCTAATCAACCGTCGCAAACATAGGATTTGACAGAAAACCCGCTCACCCTGTAAAAACTGGAATGAACCACATTCTCTTATTTTCTCCAAATACTTGCTGCAGGTTTCTGCGTAGGCCAACATCGAACCCATTTCTGTCTGGTCCACTGACAAAAACTGGAGCTGAGAAGGCCTCTGGAACAGAAAAGAAGACAACTGTGGGTCAAAACATGTTTGTTTGCTTTTGTTATTGCTTTTCTCTTAAAAATAATAAGTGTCTCTATTAAACTTTTGAGTTAAAACAAACCCCTCTTACCTAAAGTGGATCTGTTCTTGGCAACCAACCAACAGTGATAGCTAAAAAGAAACATGAGACTGACAAAGAACATTAATGCCACAAACATGAGGAAGAGGATGTGAAACTTAGCAGGTCCATTTGGCAAGTCTCCCTGGGCGGGGGAAAAGAAAACAGAAAAACTGGGATCAGAAAATCATAGGTTTTAGAAAACAAGTTACAATAACCTTTGACTTCTGTTGTCAATACATTTGTCCAAACATGCAGTGAGATCGAACTGTCAGATGACGAGTGGGTGAATGATGACACTTACCACCCAAAACTTGAGGAAATACTGAAAAACTGTGGCAGCAATGAATATGCAGTATAGCATTGAGTAGGCYAGGAAAAGAAGGAAAAGCTTGTAGTTGGAAAAACCAACACAGTTGTTAACCCTGAGAGGAAAAAGAAACCTTTAAGGTCAGAGCAGAATCAATCAATCAATTACAACTTTAAAATACAGGCTGTGATAACTTACCAGGGACAGTGATGGTCCATCTTCAAGACACAACTGAAAGGAAAAAAACAACACGTTACTACATTATCTTGCTTTTTAAAAGCCAGTGAATTGACTCAAAGTCAAAGTTACATTGATTTACTGAGGTTCTCTTCATTTGGTGCTTTTTCACATTATAATCTTATAAGCTAATATATACATTAGTTTGAGTTGTGTGATTTTAACACGAGCCATTTTATTTACACACAAAGCATTCTGGGTAAATGATGATGTGGATAGGTCCTCGGTGTGAGCGAGCTATATCCACCCTGAAGGTTAATCTTGGACAAAATCTGATGATCGACTCTTTTAAATGAAACCAGAGAGCGTTGACAGAGAGGAGAAGGCAGAAATGACTCAGCCTGTAACTGAAAATATAGATGGAGGACAACAGAGCTGCTTCATGGAAGAAGAACCTCAGCTTAGCCTGCTAGCCTATGCGCTAGTGCTGATGCTGTATACAGTATAATAGCTCAGCGCTAGCGCGACAAACAAGCTAAACTGAGGTCCTCCATCTATATTTTCAGATGCAGCTGAGTCATTTTTGCGTTCCCCTCTCTGTCATGTGGCTGGAGGACCTCAGTGACGAGAGCAGAATGTGTAGCGCTGAGCTAATACATATATACGGTGATAGCGTCGGGTCTAACGCTAAAGCTAACAGGCTAAGCTTATCTTATCTTATAGTCTTAATCTGACTAATACTGTATACCATCAAAAAACTCAATCGGCGTCATGTTTTTCCCCCCATGTTCTCTGACAGCTATTAGACGTTTTCTTTTTGCCAAAGAGCTGCACTGATTTGTCCCGAGGATCTTTGTTCTAAAAGACAGCCATCTTACAAAAATCATGTTCAACGATCAGAACACTTCTTGACTACAACATTACTCCTTGCCTGGGGCAATCCCACTTTGGTGAATGTATTGGGGTGAAAAGAGAGGCTTACGTTTCACAAACAGAGCAGTGGTGACAGCGGTCGGGCTTCAGCACCTGGCAGCGGTCACAGAACCTGATAGCTGGAGACAAGAGCATTTCTAGTTGAATGGGCGACATCTGAGCTGAGCATCACCTTCACACACTTCCTGCAGCCTAGAATTTACTCTTAGCCATCAGCACTAATGAAAAGAAGACATTGGCTGATTACTCTGGATGTGGACACTCAGGGGAGGACACGGCTAATTGTTGCAACCTACTTGCTTTCGCCACGGATTACATGCAAAGTGATAGTGTAAAAAGCCCTAGGGTTCATGACATTTTTGGTAATCTGACAGGGGATCTCACCTCCTGACTGAGCTCGGGTGAAAATGGGCAGCTTCCTTGCTATGTCAACAAGGATTTGTTTCTGAGCATCTGGTCTCTCCTCCATCTCGTAGCGCTGCTTGTCTGAGTAGGACAACTGAAACTGAACCAAAAACACAACCACAAACTCAGTGCACAGCCCCCTCAAAATTAAACGTCATTGTTTGTTTTCGTGCTGTCAAATTATAATTTTCAGATACCTTTTTACATGGTGTAGCAGGAGGGGTGAATATAGACTTCCAGTAGGTCCAGGAGAACATCACAAAGCAGACATGAAACACCAGTAAATAAACCACTGCAAGCACAAAATAAACAGAAAACAGCCATGACATGAGCTGGACTTGTTTGAATCTTCACACTGCTTGGACTAAAATATAGAAGAAAGATAGCTTACCTTTTTCCAGTGTGTTAGGGATTGTAACTGTCAAAACAGGAATGATGTCGTGATTTTTACAAAGTAGCTTGAAGCTAACAACAGAAGTTTAATTATTCGAAATAAGCTAACGCAATTAGCCAGGCTGTAGTTCTGTATGTAAATGAATAAATGCTGGCCTTGGTAAAATAGTGATAATAAGGAATAAAAATTCACAAACTAAGTTAATAAAAGCGCATATTTAAAGCCACTTCCGCCTCTCTTTTTTTTAAATCAACCCCATAATAACGTTGTTGTTAACAGTGTCGCTCTCACTGCGGTTCGGAAACAAAAGAGAAACAGTCCGTCTCACTTACCGAGGCACAGCTCGAAGACATAAGCATAATACGACCACAACACGACGGCTGTGATAATGAGAACAGGAATCCACGAGAAAACCCTCTGACAGCATCGCAATCCTCTGGAGAGAGCCATGTTCCATCATTCATTCACTCTTCTCAGCGCTCCATTACTATTCCTGCCTTGACTCACTCATCTGCGACATCTGGGATCGATTTACTGCACACTGATTTCAGCAGTAGGTAAAGCAATTCAGACTTGTCCTGCTTGTTTTAGTTTTAAACTTTTAAATGTTACTATAAATATTCATTACATACATGTTAAAATGAAGTGAATAGTTTAAAAATGAGTTTTAATTAATAGTCAATTAATTTGGAACTGCTCTCTATTTGTATTATTATTATTGTT